CTCGCGTGCTGCCACGATGACGTATGAGAGCTCAAAAGACGCAGAATTCGAAGGGCTATACGTGATGTAAAAGTATCTTGGAAAAGTTTTTTTTTAATAATCTATAATAAGAAGGTTCATTTTTAATGCCCTTTGAAATCGTGTTGAGCACGGGATCTGTGATTTTTTTTAAGAATAAAGAATAAGCTGGGATTAGGTACTTAATATTTTGTCTCTGTTCATTGAATGGCGGTAACTTTATTTTGCTTTATTATTAAATTCACTATGTTGTGTAACATTTACTTATATGTACTCTCGCTCATAATCTGGATTTTTTAGATATTTATAAAATCTAAAGTTACGAGAATTTTGTTTTATTTGGCTTTTTCTAAACTCAAGTTTAAAAAACGACGAAGTGCTACGGTGAAATGTAGGTAGTGCAATTGTACTTCGCTTGGCTCGCCTTGTAGTCCTGTCTTACAATTAAAATAGTATTTTCTGATTATGCATTTTTTAAATCTTGTATTGTTGATTTTCTCTGCTTATTTTATTGTATTTAATGAAGCTGTCTATCTCATCTTGTTTGTTTTCCATCATTTGGCTGATGTGTTAATTTTTTTAACGTCAGCTGACCAATAGTGGCGATGCATCACTGACCTTGCAGGGGGGGCGCCGGCGCAGGGGCGCCGGCGCCGTCGCCGCTGCTCAGAAGGCCTTCCTTATGCCACTGATAATTTTTCGCCCAGAAGGTCCGTTTTAACATTAGTGCGATTTAAGGATGCCGTACCCCAAAAAGCACAAACGGAACCCTTATAGGATCACTTCCTTGTCCGTCTGTCTGTTTGTTAGCTGACACCGTGGATTAACACTTTGGCCTCATCATCGCTTTCCATCAGGGGGCCATTCGCCTAACGGAAATGCTTTGGGAAACGCTAACGCTTACGATTTTATATTGTTATTTCTAGCCGCCTGAGGTTTTCGAATACCTCACGCTCATTTTTTTTGATATTGTTATTACCAATGCAAAAGAAAAAGAAAGAGCGCGAGGCATTTGAATACCTCGGGCGGCTAGAAATAACAAAATTAAATCGTAAGCGTTAGCGTTTTCCAAAGCATTTCCGTTAGGCGAATGGCCCCCTGATGGAAAGCGATGATGAGGCCAAAGTGTTAATCCACGGTGTCAGCTAACAAACAGACAGACGGACAAGGAAGTGATCCTATAAGGGTTCCGTTAGGCGATTGGCCCCCAGGTGAGATTGTGGTCAAACGCATTGCCTATTTTGCATAAAAAAAAACACAGGCTACGTTTTACTGCGGGAAAATATTCGTAATAAAGCGCGGGTAACACCGCGGGGCACAGCTAGTTTGACCACAATACAAAACATCTATCAAGTGTACTTTTTCACCACTATAGACAACGTGTGCAAAAATTACAACTGGACCTAATTTACTCTTATTCAAGTAATGCTATTGCATATAGCAAGAATCAAAAGGATTATTATAAGGGGAGCCAAAATGAACGATTTTAAAATGTGTACAGTTCATTTCATTATAATTTTAACACTTTCCAATCGCCCCAGGTTTGTTTACTTTTAGGAAAAAGCAAAACTATTTGTTCGGTTCCACTTATGATTGATTATCTAAATGATCGTAATGCATGGACATAGTGTTTCTTGTAATTTGTTATTTGATGGGTATTAGTCAGTTTTTGTAATAGTAATATGGTACCTATCTAATGCCGCTTCCTATATACTAAATATAAAATTATTATTGTAACTGTATATATCTATATCCTAAATGATGTAATGCAAGGTGACTTTAGAAGTATCTCTTAAGTCATTTTTCAACTTGACGACTCTGTATATATCAATACAGGGAGAAAAAAGCAGCCCTTGCTGAGTTTCTTGCCGGTTCTTCTCAGTACAAGGTCTCCCGCCGTAGTTTTGCGAACCGATGGCGTAGCTTCTGACCTTCACAAGTGCTTGTAACAGCCTAGACTGAATAAATGACTTTTCATTTCATTTCATTTCACTTATTTCTCACTCATTTCTCAGTGAGAGTGGGCATTTCTTGCAGTTTTCAAATCTTCTACGACTCACTTCGCTCATTTAAGGCAGTTTTATCGAAATTTTATAGGGGACCGTGAGAAGAAGAAAGTTATTAGAAACAGAGAAATATCGGTATGATTGATGAGGAGCTCGAGGGCGCAGGCTTTTAGTACGTTTAGCTTGCGATAGTGGCGCAACTTTTCTTTGGATGGGTGACCAATGGAAGATATGCGCTTACCACACGCACAAGCTTCACCACAGTTTGACCTGCGCAAGCATCTCGCATGAAAAAACTGTACACTTTGTGCGTTACCACACGGCACAGTTAAGTACGCGCAAGCCTCATTCTTATCGAAATCATTGGCATGGAAACAATGTTTCCTAATGAAGAAACATTTCTTATGCTACTATTTTTCAAGTGTTTGCTATTAAAAAAAGACAACGCAAAAGTCAAAATTAAAGCGATCAAAGTGGACAAAAAAACAGCTGTTGAATAGAAAAAATCATACACATATTAATCTAATTAAAGATTTAAGAGATGATCCAAACGATTTTCGTAATTATATACGGACGGATGAAAATGCTTATGGTGAATTGTTACGTTTTTTGCCATTTTTGAGTGACGATAACGAACGACGAATGAAAAGACGAGCGAGCCGCGACACAAAGTACACTCGACTGTGGCTTGAACACTGAACGCCCAACCACACGCATAGACAAGTACGCGCAGGCCGAGCTTGCGCAGGCAAAAATTCAAGCAAGTCGAAAAGTGCGCAGGCCGCGCTTGGGGTTGGCGCGTGATACAGTTTTACCAACTACACGCACCGTGTTCCCTGTACAAACCGGCCTGCGCAGGAAAAACTGTGGTGAAGTTCGTGCGTGTGGTAGGCCCATAAGCAACTTTTCTTTGGATGGGTGACCAAAAAACTCATTATATCGATCTCCTTTGTGCTTTGGAAGACACATTAATGGTACAGAACTGAAACGTGTCTACCGGTTTAAGTATCTGGGACATTTTGTAGCTGATGACCTTAAGGACGAATCTGACATTGATAGGGAGCGCAGAGCGCTGTAATATGCTGGCTCGTAGGTTTGCATGCTGTAGTACTCCAGTAAAATTAACACTTTTTAGAGCTTACTGTCAAGTGTTCTACACGTACAGCCTATGGACTGCCTGTGCGCTGCGTATTCAATTTAATAATGCTCTTAGAGTGTTGTTGGGGCTACCCCGTTTCTGCAGTGCATCAGGCATGTTTGCGCCGATGCATATTGATGCTTTTTATGCCATCATGCGGAAGAGAGCCGCTTCGTTGCTTTGCTGGGTGCGGGCCAGCTCCAACTCCATTCTGCAAGTTATAGGGGGTCGATATGATTCCCCTATAATAGCTTATTGTATCCAAAAGTGTACAACGGGCACAAGTTTAGAATGTAAGTAATTAAAGTTCGATGCTTACACAAGATAATAAGTAATCATGTAACTAACCATAATATGCATGTATTCTTGTCCGAAATAAATGTTTATTATTATTATTATTAAGCCGTTGCGGCTGCAACTGCAATCGAAGGCACCCACCAAATTGCATTGTGCCCGCGTGGCCAATCTCTTTATGCCTTGTACAAGGAAGGCTTCTGCTCCAGAAGTGGGACATTAATAGGCTGATAATGATGATGGTGAATCTGAATGGTGTTTACTATACAGGATAATGCTATTTTTAATTGCTTTGCTCAAATTAAGCTTTGTTTTTGTGTTTGTTTGTAGCGATAACCTCTTATAATAGAATCTGTGCTTGTATTGTAACCTTAAATATATATTTTTTATTAATTTTATAGTCTCGGTGCAAAGGCAATGGATTAACACAGCCTTGCCCCTTTTTTATTTTTTCTTTTAAATTATATAATTACTAATTATTACTATAAAAATCGTTAGTGTTTGGCATCCACTTGTCAGATAAAGGATCCAGTTGAAAACCAGCGCCAGTGCATACTGCACTGACATTATGCTGAACTGGGCCCTTTTCAGTGCAGCCGTTTTTTTTATGATGTTGTGATAGTATTTCTCAGATTATTATGTGATTGCTTCGAATATTTTTCTAATGTCCCGGGCATTTTGATTGTGAACTTACAGATATGTCATGATTTTTTATGGTCATAACATTCATTAAATGATTATTTTAATTCATTTCTTTTTAGTTAAATTCATTACTTACGATAGCAGGAAGTCAATAATGAAGTAGAAGTATATAACAGTCAAGAAAGTCATGAAAATGAAACATTTTTGTGTTTTTACTATTGTATGGCACTCTATACCTTTGTTTTGACCAACTTTTATAACAACAAATAGTTGTTTCCTGTTCCTTCCTTATTATTACTGATTGCCTACTCGTACAAAGATAGCTGTATCTTTTTTTATTAATCATAATTATAAATAGTATTCCTTTGGGTTTTAATAAAACTACTGTTATTGTGACTCAAGACTTTTATTGCCTCGCCGATTTTAAATTTAGTTTTAAGTTTAGAGAATCATACCAGGACCGATACCATTACCTACCTAGTTCTAAATTGCATCTTCAGATAAGTTCTGGATACCAAGTAAAAAAAACTTTCTAGGATTGTATGTTTCTGAGTTGACCTTCTGCATTAGTCATTGTTATTGCTTTTGACATTTTCACTCTACGATAACATTCAGTGACGAACGCTTGCGTAAATTATTATCAGATTGATGTCTTCCCTTATCTTATCAAATAGAAAAATATAGACTTTTCCTGGAAGAAGTCTATTTTAATCAATTTCTTTTGGCAAACTACAATGTTTCCATATAGTTTATAAGTTTACGATATCGTATTCTTGAAGAGAAAAGTTGAATATTATTCTATGGGTTTCAGCTTCTGTTAAAACTATGGTTTAAAGTATGTATATGAAATGGTCGTTTATATCCAAAGAGAATGTAAATTACTAGTCTATATCGTCCATGGTTTATATATCATCAAAACTGACAAAGAGAGTACCAGTCACAAATCATTTTAAAAAAATATAGTCATTCCCATCACTAATAAAAAATATTTTTTCAATAGTAAAATCCAAAAAATTACCATATGGTTAAGAAAATACACAAATCTTTCGAAGTAGGGAGCGACTCGAACAATATCCAAGCAGATGTCATCATATTGGGATGCAGCCTCCCGGGTATCGTTACTGCACACAAACTCAAGAAGAAATTTGGAAACACCATGGATATTGTAGTTCTTGACATAGCTGGAACTCCTAAAATGATATCTAAGTGCAACGTGTCTTTTTTAACAGATGAAGAAGAAGAGGAAACGATGGAGTCAACTGAAGAAGAAGAAGAAGACAATACCGAAATACACGCTAACGACAGCATGGCACGGCACTTCTTAACAAAGTATGCCAAAGAACTAAATATCCCACTGCCAGAATGCATCTTGGGCCCTTACAGTAAACCGAATCTGAACAAACTCTTTCAACATAGAAATGGTAATACGGTCGAGTGTTCCGCCGATTTTCACGATTTTGGCTACTTAAATTTCACTGAAAAACTTGAGTTGAACCAGTTTCAAGCTCGATTAGATCACAGCATGAAAAACATGTTTCGCTACTTCGAAGGAGATAAAGAAAGTGAGAGGAAAAAACTATTGTACTATGATCAAACAACCATGGAACAGTACATATGTGATTCGCTCCTGTTTTCTACCTCCCGAGAAATTATGAGAACCACAGTGAGGCTAGTATGTGGAGTACCAGCTGACAGTGTGTCAATTCTTTTTTATCTTCATCAATGTTACAGGACGAGTAGCTCAAGAAATCATTTAGATGGAGACAATACTAGGCTCAGAGAAAAACTTCTCGGATACTGTAGGAAACGCTTGGTGAGCCAACTCGAGCAAAGTATCGAAGAAATAACTTTACCCATAAAATCGATTAAAGAAATTCGCACTTACTCAGACGAGCAAGTCATATTGTTGACAATGATGGGTGAGACAAATTATATATGCAATCTATTAGCCATGGCATTGCGTCCTGATGAACTTCGTAAAATAAAAGTAGAAGATCAACTGTTATCAAAAAAACATGCGGCTATATCTGGAGCGATGAGTCGTGGACGAGCTAAGAAATTTGTGATAGAATACGATAACAACTTTTGGGCAGCGCAAGGATATAGCGGTGATATTTTCAGCGTCAGGGGCCCTATAATTTGGGCGATGGAGAAACCCAATTTATCGACAACTGGCAGTTTAGGTCGATACGTTTCACTAATAGGCTATTTGAAAGTGAAAGATAATAATAGAAATGCATCTAATAATAAATCTGCTGTAATCGAACAGCTAGTGAAGCTATTTGGACCGGAAGCTGAAAAAACTATTAGTTACAAGGAGACGGAAATCGCTGATGTGTTTGTACCACGGTGCGGTGATTATGTGGCGCTACGTAAGTTCACGGGAGAAGTCAATACCAAACTGTTGGAGTGGAGTGCATTGGATATCTTCGCTGATGGGGACGTGGTTTCCGCCTTACAAGCTGGTCATGCAGCATATCTGCATTTATTGACCTACTTGCGACCGCAGGCCCAGACATTTGAAGACTTAAGCACAGCAAATTGGCCTACTGTCTTAAACACTGACGCTGCTGAAGATTTGCTATCATACATGAATTATAAGCAAAGTATCAGAATAGTAGTTTATGCGGCTGTAATATTTATTGGTTTTCGTCTAATTCGAGGTTATATGCAGAAATGATGCTTTTTAAAAATTTCTATTACCTACTGAAAGAAAAAAGAAAGAAAGAAAATCATTTATTGGTTACACAGCATAGGTAGGTACATTAAAACAAAACAGAATATAAAAAAAATAACATAACCACAAATAAAAACAAAAAAACTAAATTCAGGTGCTGCTGTGCAGGGCCAACAGGTCGCTGTCTCAGCTATGCTACTGTGGTAATACTTTCGCAATACCACAGCAGCGCTGATTTTCAGCCAGCGCCTAGTGATGCCCGAAACGCCAAACAAATTGCGACTATACATACTCGCATTTTGTACGAGCTACAAAATTTTAGCGATTTTAAATAAAATAATAATAAAAATAAAAACGTCAAATAATAACTTTTGTTCTATAAATAAAATAAAATAATGATAATACTTATAATTAAAACACACTACATCTATGGTGGAACTACATTTACTGAAGGAAAACAATTTGATAATGTCTTTATTTTCGTAACAGTTTTTCTATTTATTAATTTTGTGTTAAAATAAACTTAAATCAAGTTGATTGCGTGTTTTTACATAGGGCTCTATTGGGTCTTGAGGAAAAATGAGGTATTTCAGTCACGATCCGAATAGTTCGACATGCCCTAATCTGGGGCATCGTATGCATGGTGTCAGCCGGCCTTTAGGCAGGCCGCGGTCTGGCGGAGGTCAGGCGCATCAATTATGTCAAGTTCATTTAACATACTTTTATTCATATTAAGGAGAGTACCTACCTAAGTAATTGAATCGATTCTACGCATCGTGTTAACAAATTACTAATAATGTGATTGAATATTATAAAAGCTCAATCAAGCGAATTTGGTCTGCAAATTCAAGGTCCAAGAATGGCATAAAGTATGTATCTACTAATTCCCATTAGGAATCGATATTAGAAGATCTCTAGACCCTAGCTGCAGGCCAGGGATCCTTAAAATGTCATAGCAATGTAACATATATGTTTCGTTGCCATAAAAGCAATTTTTTGCATTTGCCTCTCATCTTGAGAGTAACATAACTTAAAGAATTGATTCTGACACATAAAAAATCCTTTTTTTATATCGCACTTATTTTACTTAAACAATGACACACACGTCACAAGAGCAGGATTTGTGTTTATAAAATAAATATAAGGAAGACTTAACGCCTTATAGATTTGCATAAAATGTTTGCTGGCAATTGCTGTAAACCTCACAAAAGGCGTTTTCTTCCACGTGCTGATGATTTTAGTAAAACATGTACCAAAAACAAGCCACGGCAAGTGTTTGTTAACTTTCCTGTGGACTAGCTTCTGCTGACTTGTCAACCTCTCATATAGTATGGGCGGGAAAATCGTTATTTGGGGGGATGCACTCAATCCGGCACCTACTGGGCTGCTAGGCAACGACACTTCTAAACCGGTGGAGCTCCAGGAAGTGCCGGAGGAGGCCGACTCTGCCCGACTCCTATATTACGACGATAATACATTTTCCTGTCACCCATTATCTCGTGACTAGCAATACGCACGTTGCATAACTATTTCACTATCCTAGACGGAACGTGCCATCGAGCTCTTTCTTCGACGAAGGATAAATGGGAAGACAACTTAATGGATTTTGGCTTGAGTTACCCTGTAGAGACCGAACATCCTCTAGCGAGTACAAAGAAATTGAAAAAATCTACAAGCATTACGCCTGTCAAATTCATCGCACACAGTTTTTTGCACACTGAACTATTGTATATTGTACAATTTGCCAATAAATTGGAGCAGCAGTCAAGCAATTAGCGATCAGTGTAGCGAAAAACATCTGGCCAGTCAGATCTCATCTATGCTCTCATAGTATTACATTTTGTTACAATAAACAATATTGGGTCCTTTCTATTGTAATTAGATTTTGCTTTAGAAATAAAAAGAAAAAATAGGCAATCCATATCGTTAAGTCGTACGTTCTCATGCGAGTGAATACCGTCTTAATCGCAATTTATTTTATGTACATAAAAGTGAGGCTTATAATTCATACTAGCTGTGCCCCACGGTGTTACCCTGGACCGCGGTTTATTAGGGATATTTTCCCGCAGTAAAACGTAGCCTATGTGTTCATACGCGATCCAGGGTGTCAGCTAACTCCATACCCAATTTTATTTAAATCGCTCCAGCCGTTTAGATGTGAAGAAGTAACAAACATATAATGCGATTCAAATAAGAATAGGAAAGCCAATGACCTCTATCTGTCAAATGTCGCTTGAAAAGTACGGTTTGCAAAAAAATCCTGGAACCCTTCTTTAGCACTCCGCTAATTCAAGAATAAAAACCAAACATTTGTAAACAAACATTGATAATTAATATCGGTTGATATTTTTTTTCACTTATTGAGCTATGGCCATGAATGGTTGATAACCTAAATCATCAACCAAATGTCACTTTAAGTTGCGTTCAGAAACTCGATTTCAAACTTTCTTTTACATAAAGGATGCATGTTCGTATGTGACCTAGTAATAGTGCATGATTATTCATAACTACTCCGGCGGTAATGCAGAGATGAGCGGAATAAAAGAGAGAGAGATTCTGATTAATGTTTTTTCTCACAGTCTTAATAAATAAAAATTATAAAAAAATCGATGTTTTTTTTCTCAATCTTAGTAAATAAATGTTATTTAAAAATCTGATGCTTTTTCTCACTTAATCTTAGTAAACAAGTTTTATTAAATAAAAACTTTTTTTGCTCACTCTACCTATTTGGTTTGAATTGACAGCTATGACATCACAATATGGCGCCCAGTCGGTCATAGTCTAAGTTATTGTCATTTCATGTCTTAGGTAGTGTCAATTCAGGGCATTCAAACAACAACTAAATACTGAATACAAGAAGCTTTTTCCCCTCAGATTAAAGGTCAAAGAGAATTGATTCTCAAACACCGAACAGTGGTTGAGTTGAAACCATTAAATTCTGAAAGCGGAAGCAATAACAGTGAACATCCGCACAAAGACTAATGCGATGAAGGCATTATCGAGGTGTCCAGTATCTGCAGCTGCTGAAATGTCACCTTCACAGCAGCAAAGTAGATCAGATTGCCGTTCATCAAGGAGGCTTCACAAGAGAATCTACTCGAGGTCACGTAGCAAAGATATGTTTATGTCTAAAGATAAATGTTATCATAGAATCTCTGCATGCAGAATTTCTTCTTATCAATATACAAAAATAAATTAAAAAATACATAAAATTTATTCACTAAATCGGTGAAAAAACTGATCAGGAACCAAATAATATGTAATTTTTTTAATTTATTTTATTGTGATACAGTCAAAACATCTATTTTAAAAGTGGAATATATTTGGTTTTATTTGCTGTACTGGGTACTGTACCCCTAGCACGAAACAATATCGAATTCGAAATGTCAATGTCATTGTGAGTGAAATGTCATTGTCAAACTTTGTATAGAAACTTGAACAGCAGCGCCAAAACGGGCGTAACCAGAACTAAAAATCAGTACACATATGACAATGACATTTCGCACTCGCAAACTATTCGAATTCGATAATGGTTCGTGCTAAGGTTACTGAAGTATTCGTATCCGTCCATAAAGAAAAATCAAAAAGGAAAGCTACCCATTTTTTTATAATTTTCTCATCCTGAGCACTAAATATAGGCCCAGCCCCCCTAATAATTACTGAAGAATAAGCTTCGTATTTTGTACTCTGTCCTTTGAATTACTCATGGCATTTGATTTAGTGTTATGAACACAACCCGGCGTAACTGGTCTAAGCTTATACCCGGTTTACTAATAACGGGGTTTAAGTGCTGGATGTTTAAATGTGAAGACAATTTTACTAGAAAATAATCCATTCGGAGTCATAACCTCCGCTATCCAGGCCAACTATGCTACCACTGACTGACCAATTATGCTACCGCGGCTTTAATGGTCGTGTCGATTTTTTTTTAATATTTCTTAGGCAGCGCCATCTCTTCGCATTGTAGGTCAAAAGGTTAATTCGAATAAAGTATAATTTCCATTATACTAAAAAGTCAGCTATTTTAGCTAGACTATTGTTTGAATACTTACCATTGTATCTCCGTTATACTATACATCCACGCTTCGACGGAAACTTGTAAATATATACATTAAAAAAATACCTGCTAGTAGGAAGCGGAAAGGTTTTGTCGCCGACGCGACGCGGTTGATTGAATTCACTGTAAACTGAAAAGCAATTTCCTAATGGAGATGACTAACTATTGTTATCCTCGGTCAAATTCAATTTTGTCATGGACATTACATAACAAATGCCTAGTGAGTGTAAATACGGGGATTAGTAAAATTACTACTCTACGAAATCCCTTTTTTACCCGGCTTTTTTAGTAGTCGAGCAGTTTACTTTAGCAGTCGGGACCCACTGTTGAAAAATATTATGTATTCTTGAATATCTAATGGGTCCCGACTGTTAAAGTAGCTTTGTTCCTTATTAACAGAATTATAGACTACTGGACTTGTTTTTTTCTTTTCAGTTTTTATTTGAAGTATAATTAAGCAGTCGGGTTTTTTGATTTTTTAAATTTACCTTTTTTATGTTTGACGACCTCCGTGGCCGAGTAGTTTGTACGCGGGATTTCATGGTGTCGCCAACTCTAGAGGTCCGTGAGTTCGAATGTTTGTGTGATGAATACGAGCATTTGTACTCCAGTCATGGATGTTTAATATGTATTTCTATATAAATATACTTATATATGTACAGTATATGTATTCTATCCGTTACCCTAGCATCCCATAACACAAGCCTTATAGTGCTTACTTTGGGGCTAGGCTAATTGGTGTGTGTGTTGGAAATATTTATTAATTTATAACCCAACACGCTCTATCATTTTATTTAAAATATTTGTTTTTACACTTTGCTAGCTTACCCGGCGATCTTCGTACCGCTACAATGTTTAACAGGAAAGTACTCGTACTTAGTTAGAACAGTTTATATGGGAAAATGAAATTTTTGTTTTAACTATCTTCCTTGTAATTTTTGCATATTTTCTCACCGTTCAAACCTTCCCTAGACTACGACAAACATTACGAATACTAAATCAACTAAATCTGCCCAGGCATTTTCGAGTTTTAGCGAGAAAAACGAACCACAATAATTGATTTTTATGAAGCTTATGATTTTATAACGGAAAAGTAACTATATTTGCAATCAATCCTAAAAGGTCTCCCTTCCAGACTTCAAATCGACCGTAAAAACTATTTTTCCCTTTTTTTGTTGCTCTACACCGTTAATTTTGACGTCCTTTTTACTTCTGTAGTGCGAGTGGACTACCGTAACCGTAAATACGTAAACAAAAAAAGAGAAATTTTATTTCTAGCTATATTTTGTAGTTTTTATATACAATACCCCCCCCCCCCCGAAAAAAACATGAATGCTATAGCAACTATCTTTTATTAGTTTTCCATAAAAACATTACTATGGGTAAAAAGTACCAGGAGACTCTACGTGGGAGCGGGAGGAGGACG